CACCTGTTGGGATGAGCACTGGGTGTTGTATGGAAACCAATTTGACAATAAATTTTATATTAAAAAAAATACTTAGTGCAAATTACAGATCATTAAACTCTAAAGCTCTAGACATTATATGTTTAATGATTATCAAATATGAAAAGGGCATTTAATACAGATGGAAATTTGAGAGTGTACATGTGTTTTTGCTTTTTAAAAATCTTCATTTTTAATATATCTATGTTCAGTTATATAGCTTCTGATATCCCACTATTGTGATTATAGTTCAGAGTGATAAAGTAGGACTAAGAGAAAAGAAATTAACAGATGTTAAAAAGGAAATTATTTAGTAGTTTATTAAAGAAGATTAGCTTGTAGCTTATTGAAACCCAGAAATTATGTGACAGCAATTTATATATATAACATATTTCAATGATGTATGTACCTTATGTATATGTATATAATAGTAATTTTTTCTAGTAAAATTTTTTTGATTATGGAAAATTTTAAACATATACAAAAGTACAGAGAACAGTATAATGAAACTTTGTATATTTATCACCCAACCTTAAAAATTATAATCATGTAGCCAATCTGGCTTTACTTCTTACCCTTCATTCCCCATTCCCACCTCTCCAGAATGAGTTTTAAGCAATTCTCATCATATAATTCTATTCATAAACACATCAGTTATCATAGTTGCTAAATAGGAAATATTAATGCATTTTATGGATACAAATGCCGTAAATATAACTATTTGATGTTGAGATGTTAATTGTAAATAGTTGTTTAAATTCATGGCAATTCTTGGCTCATCGTTACAGGATATAAATTAACCAGACAGGTTCAGATTCAGTCAGATAGGATTCCAGTTTGTTCCTCGTGTCTTCAAAAGGTCAGGACTATTCGAATGCTGTTAATAATAATAAAACAATAGTCAGCATAGTTTTTATGGTAAATGTAACTAAAACCCACAAATAATTTCTGTATTTTCATCTCAGCATTTGGTTTTAATCTTTCTTTATAGACATCTACTTTGCTAAGCCTAATTGCTTTTATCTTGTCATCCTCTCTCATTCGTGGAATGAATAATACCTTGCAAATGGTGCTAGTAAGCTGGGAAAAGTTCGGAACTCTCACCTGACCCTGGGTGAGGTCCATGCTACCGCATGGTAAGGTTGTAGTGAGGTTTCTGTGTTGGAATAGTCACTGCTTGTTGTGTTGGAGTGATGCTTTCTGAAAACCTAAATATTCTAAATCCTGGGTAATTCCTTCAACATGTAGAAGCAAAGAAGGAGATAATCCTTGGGGACAGAGAATTCCTTATGTTGGACCTTACTGCTGGAACTGTGGAAGCCCTGGCATTAGCAGTTTGCCATCCATAAATGTTTTCTTCACCCAGGGACTAGAGCTACATCTGTCTACGTGTGGAAGGAGAACCTCTGTGTCCTTTTACCAGGAGTCAAGGTCATTGCACCTTAAAAGACCAACTGGGCGTTGCGTTCCCTCTGCTTTCTTACTGCTATGTAGTTGGTATGGTAGGAGGGCCTATCCTCAGTTGTGCTTCCTACACCCACGTGGTAAGTGCCATCCTCTGTTTTCTCCATTGTCATCTTTCCATCTGTGTGGGCAGGAATGTGGTCTTCTCAGTGAGCTAGAGGCCAAGTAGGAAGCGTCCGTCAAGTATCTCCCCCTCAGCCTTTCATTCTACCACTGATTACTAGGCCTACTTTAAGAGTACAGGGGACTTGCCCCGCTATTAATAAAGTAATTCACCATTTTCCATTTGGCTGCCACTTAGCAACTCCCTATGGGTATATTCCATGACTGAAAACTCTAGGGGAAAAGGGGCAGTGGTGGAGGAGCTATGAGTTTTAGGTTCTAAGGCTCCAAACTCCAACCAAACTCCTTACTTAAGGACCACTCTTTATGGGGATACTGAGATTGTGTGAGATATTGCAGAGTTTATACACTAAGTTACTTTGTGTAGCCTAAGTAATTTTTTGTTTTTATTGAACTTCTTTTTGATATATTGCAACTAATATGTTTGCAGATTAGACAGTTCATGTCAGTAGAAATAATTTCTCAGGTTTCTTTCCCAGGAAGTAGCTTGGGTCCTCACACCATGAACCTGTTTTCTTCTGAAACGTTTATTTTCTCCTTCAAACTCATGTCACTTAACTTTAGGTCCTCCCTCCCCCTCTTCCCATTTGTGATGTCTTCTCAGGTGATTTTTGGCCTGCATCTCCTCTATGAAAGAGTGGTCCTGGTGTTTTTGCCTATTGTTTCTATTGACCAAGGTTGTGCCTGATCATTTGAACCAAAATCATTGATCCTAGTCTCTCCTGCTCCCTAGCTGCTACAGATCCCCCAGTTGGGACATTTCTATAACTTAGTTCTCAGGGTCTATGCCAATGTCAATGCCAAGATAGCTAAAATTGTGGGTCAGAGACAGTGGACAAAGCATGAGGATAAGAGTTAGGGCATGCTTTAAGTTTCTTTAAGTGAGCCACTCACTGCTCACATATCCATGGTTTTCACTTGGTTCTGATAATGAAGGGCCTAGAGTGGGCATCTTTTGTTAATTGCAGAACATAATGATGCCAGACCCAGGGCTATATTGCACCAGAATGACCCGACATTATACTATGGAAACCTTTCTTACTAGGGAGCAGCCCCAACTGAGTTAACAATGGTTTTTGAAAGGGAAAATCTGTGTCAGTTTGTATCACCACTCTATGTTAAAATAGTGTATGGGAGTGTACATTATGGGAATAGAGTAGGAAGCTTTTCTTTTCCCAGATGGCCACTATTTAATCTTTTAAGCACATCTAGTATGTGTGATGTTGTGGAAAGTGTCAGAAAAGACAAACTGATTGGTTCTTAACATGAAGTAAAGAGTCATCGTAAAGGTTTTTTGAACTACTTATCCCTCTGTTTGTTAACTTACCTTTTGCCTTGGTTCATTAAGTCAAATGCCTCATTGATTTTGTCAAAAGGCAGGGTATGGGTCACCAATATATCCAGATCAAATATCTTATTCTTGTAGTCAGTGACCAGCTTTGGAATAGAATCAATGCTTTTCCAACCTGTAATTTGGCCAAAATGCCACGTAAAGACATGGTTTTTGACAAGAAGTGGTTTAATCAGTTTGTTGAGTGAATGAAATTACCAGGCCAGATTTGGGTTGCTTCAAATAGATTATCCCTCCCATCTTTGATTTTCTATACTTTTATTGATTTAGAAGTTTTTCTTAACAAGGAATGTTAAGATTAGTTTCTATTTCTAGATAAGGAATTATCTCAGTTTGGTCGAAGTTTACCTTTTGTTCCTCTTGTGTTGGTTAATTTTAATGCAAAATGAACTTAACTTTACAAATTGTAGTTATCCATTTATACAAATTTTGTTTATTCTCAAATAATTGCTAGAATAGCTTTTATGCAGTCTCTAGATATGTTATTAGGCACTCGGTATTTAAACAATATATTTTTTCCTTTCCATTCAATAATTTCATTATAAGAATTTGAGTACTACTATGGAGATAATTAAAAGAGGGAAAAAAAAAACTGACCACCAAAGCATGTTCCATTTATGGTACGGCCCATTATGAGCTCCACTGGAGATATAGTCAATCCTCTAATTTCAGAGTCTACCCCGATGAAAGTACATGTTCCCCAACCTGCTGTTGTACAGTCCAGGGCTGCTCTCTGGAAGGTCAAAAAAAAGATTAGTTGAGTAAGTAGAAAACGTAGAACATGAACCCTAGTGTAGGTATGCACAATGCTTTAGGGAAAACGTATGCAACTCTGCATATAAGATAAGATTATTCAAGCTAAAATGATCATAGTATTGTTGATTGATACTTGGGGTGCCACTGTTCTGTTTCAGATAGAACATTCATTAAAATTTTGAGCGTTACCCAAAAAGATATTGAAAAGAAACAATATATTATTTTGTTTAATACCATAGTTATGGTGAAGTGGAATGCGTATCATTGCTTGTCAAGAAAAGTAAACATGTGAAGTTAGGAAAGAACTCTAGAAGGTATTATAAACTCTTACCAAGTTTTCAGTGATCTGTTGTGGATATGTAGTAAAACATTTGCAGTTCTACATGCATAAAAACAATCTTTGAAGTCATGAAGAGAGGAATGAATAAGTATTTATTAGAGCCCAGGAAATGAGGTACACACCATAAACTTAGTAGATCCCAAAGTAAGATAATTAAAAAGTGCTACTTAAAACAGAGGACAAAACAGTTTCAACAGAATCTGACACTGGCTGCTGGTCATAAAACATTTCATCTCCTTCCCTACATTATTTAGCTCTCACAGTTAGGTAGAGTTATGTAACTAATTCTGGGTCATTGGCTATGGGCAGAAGTGATGTGTGTTATTTCATAGGCGAAACAGAACCTGCCAGCTCTTCCTTCTCCTGCTGTAACAACCAAGATGATCTTGTGGTGAGATTGTGAAGCTACAAATTTGAACTTGACTGAGCCTTGATTGCTGGCTGAATAACTACATGGAAGACAGTGGCCCAGGGGAGTTGCTTTGATATTCCCATGAGAGAGAGTTATGTTAACCTACTGCAAGTTTGGGGTTAAAAATGCCAAGGATTGAAAACATAAAGAAGTTTGAGAAAGGTATAAATTTGTGGGTGGACATTCCATAAGAAGCCATATGGTAACTAGATGAACATTTACAATCTTTTGAGACTAGTCTTAAGAAAAGTGTAAACTTTATTTTATATCCCTTGCCATAGTCAGTGCTCAACTTAATTCTGACCTGTTGGGGCAATTTTTACTTTCACAAAAGTCCCAATAGGAAGAACAGCTTTTTTCATCACTGATCACTGTGTGAAAGAAGCAGTTTAAAGTACAGTAAATTCTCCCCCTCTCTCCATGTCTTACGAGTGATGGAAAATGCAATGACCTAGAACTTTTAGAATGTGTTTTGAAATTTTTATTTGACTACATATTTATTCTTTTGAGAATTCATAACATTTCTAAATAGCAACTCTTCTACTGTGTGGACTTTTTATTGGGAGGAAATAATTTTGTTTATGCTGTATGGAGAGATCTATGGAGAGGGGAAAATCCATAGGCACTATTTGTTACCTGAAGGTAGCTATTTACATTGACTCTTATTTACTATTTTATTAAACATTTTTTTCCCCCTGTTTGCCTTTTCTACGTTTCTGGAGCTTTGCTCCAAGCAAAGAATTAATTTCCCTAATGATGACTTAAGTAAAAATGAGCATTATATGCACAACAGGTTTATTTAGAAGTCTCTGAGAGGTTTTGATGAGAATTACTTTTACTTTTCAAAACTTTATAATATTGTTAATTATTGTAACTTTCTGATTATTCTGTTGGGTTCTTAAGGCTGCTTTAGAGCACTAGTGGTCATTGAATTCAAGTTCACACCCATTGCTGGAATCTCCTCTACAACCAAGACATTTAGCTTTCCTTAGTAATGGAAACTTGGTGGACGGGTAGGTAGCTGATGTTTTGTGATTAAATAAATCCATCATTTATTTGGGTTCTCTGGTATAATTCTATTCCATAATTTAAAATAATAATAAAACCTGTCAAGTTTTAGTTCAGATGGTTCTCAACTTGAGTAATGTAAAAAATATTGGTATCTGGGCCTTAGACTCTTGAGACTATCCTGGAGTATGGTCCATTCATTGGTATTAAACAATGACAATAACAACTCCCCATGCGTTTCTAAAGTGTAGCCGGTGTTGAGAATCTCTATACTAGAAAGATAAAATCAATAGGCTGAATTTCAATGTTTGTAAAAAGTTTGAGCTATGGAAAGTGGAAGAATATTGTGGCACAATGCAAGTTGCAGATGCCAAGGACAACGTCTGAAGCATTGAACACAGGGGAGCACGTGCAGGATAAGGAGCCTTAATGCATGAATTTTCAGTAATAGCTGATATTTAATGAGTGCTTATTACCTACCAGACCCTCCTTTAAGCAGTTACATTATCAATGAAAGCATTCTGAGAGGAGAGACCGAGGTAGGGAGCCTGATGCTCTCAGCACCTCTTCCCCATCTCCATACTCTTCTGGGAAATGCATCAGTAGGGTAAGAACCAAGGGGAAGAACTGTTCAGAGCCTGCCACTGGGAGGCTGAAGTACAGAATGTATTGTTTAAAAAAATTTTTTTTTGTAAAAATCATTTTAAGAGAAAGAGAGGGAGAGAGAGCACATGTGTGTGTGTGAGTGGGAGACGGGCAGAGAGAGGGAGAGAGAGAATCCCAAGCAGGCTCCACACTGCTTTATTTTGAGTTTGGCCAGTGCCGAGTCCAATGTGGGTTGAAACTCACATGAGAGTGAGAAACTCTCAATTGGACCCTGAGTCCAATGTGGGGTTGAAACTCACATGAGTCATGAGATCACGACCTGGGCCAAAATCAAGAGTTGGGTGCTTAACTGACTGAGCCACCCAGGTGTCCCCAGAATTCTATTTTTTTTATCATCTCCCTAGAGGAGGGTTTGGGAGCCATGTTGAATGAAGTCATAATTAAAAGGGCATAGTGTCATAGCTACTCCACAGATCTCACTCACGAAAAAGACTCCATGGCAGATAGTTGGCGAATTTTTTTGTCATCTCATAAAACAAAACAAAACTCTGCTTAGTGTATTTGCACAAACGGGTATGAAGTGAACATTCACTGGAAGATGAGGCTGGGCATTCTGGCAGGCTAACTTCTCCATGTGTTGTCTGTGTGGTTGATTTACCCCACTTTCTCAAGTAGAATAGACAGGGCTGGCTTTGTGGGCCTGCAGGCAGTGTAGTCGCTCAGGGCCCTGTGCCTAGAAGGGCCTGCAAATTATGTAGCTCGTTTTGAGAGAAGAAATCTGAATGATACAGAATTGTTTAGGAAAAAAAGATCTACTTTTTAATTTTGCAGTGTGTGTGTGTGCGTGTAATATATTGAAAATTTCACATATATGATTTGGATCTAATTGTGCAGCTCATTTACTGAAATCTGATGGACAGAACTCGATTGCTTGTAAATTGCTAACCTCTCTCTTCTCTGATTTTAGCTGGGAGTGGATACTTCCAGCTGTTAGGGGTGACATGTGTCCTTCTGTCCCCTTCCCTTCTCTAAATCTGCCTTTTCTGTTGTTTCTTTGTCATTTCTCATAGGCAGAATTATTTTAAAATTTTCATTTCTAAGTTTTTTCTTAACTTTTTGCTGAATTTCATGTGGAAGAATATACAAAAATAGTAATCTATTAAGTAATACTTGTAATTAAATATTAATACATGCAATCTAATAGCTAATATTTTCTATATAAATATATAATATATACATATATGTATATAAAATATACAAAGTAACTATATTGATACACACATTGCCAATGTTTATTAATGTTAATAAATAATAATTTATTATATACTATCATTAAAAATATACATACCATGGCTTCAGGTCCACCTGCACAATCAAGGGCAAAATCCACCCCTCCTTTGGTCATTTCAATGATGACCTCCTGGATGGGTTTATGTAGGTTTCTAGGATTGAGGCAGTCAGTGGCTCCGAGGGCTTTGGCCTTTGTAAACTTCTCACTGTTGATGTCAATAGCTATAATTCTGGAAGCTCCTGCTACTTTACAACCCATTATAGCAGAAAGACCAACACCTCCTAGGCCAAAGATGGCACAAGTAGAACCAGGGGTGACCTGCAGGCAGGACAATTTATAAATTTAACTTTTTAAAAAATTTATTTTTTAATTTTTTTAGAGAGAGTGCATGAGCTGGGAGAGGGGACAGAGAGAGAGAGAGAATGAATCCTAAGCAGGCTCCACACTCAGGATGGAGGCCAGTGAGGGGACTTGATCCTACGACTGTGAGATCATGACCTGAGCTGAAATCAAGGGTCAGACGCTCAGCTGACTGAGCCACCCAGGCACCCCTAAGTTAACTGTTAATGGAACTGAACTTAACTTTTTTTTAAATGGAGAGAGTGAGGTGGGGCAGGAACATATAAATAAAAGACTGTCTATCATAAAACTAAATGATACAGCCAACAGGGGAAATCTGCCAATATAAAAATGGATTACTCACTGGCTAAATTTGGAGGATCATTTGAATGCCATTAGAATGATCAGCTAATAGTAAGGAATAAGCCCAAGTGAAAATAATCCTCTTGTTTTCCTGTTCCCTTTTAGTGTTGTCAGCACAAAAATTTAAAACCCACACATTTTAAAGGGTTTATTATTTTCCTTTTTAAATAGATCACAAATAATTTATATTTTTAATGGGCCTTATTTGGTTGTATTAGTGTTATAGTCGGTTTTGAATGAGCACTAATGTTTCTCTAAGTGTGAATTAACTCACATCCCAAATCACCAATTAATTTGAAAGGCATGAAATACAAATTTCTTTTGGTTTTCTATATTTCCTTTTTGTTTTTTCTATATTGCCTAATTTATGATCTACCTTGATTTGTTGATTTTGTATTTGTGTGCGTGTTTCTTCAAAAGACTGTAAGTTCTTTGAACTCATATTATCTTTCACATTGCTATTAAGAGTGTTCTATGTGTTGGGTCTTTAATAAATGTTCATTGCATCAAATGAAATAGAAACTGAATATACAAGATGATAAGGAAAGTTGCTGTATCTGGATTATGTTATTCTGTAGAGTGGTATAGTGGCAAAAAACATACTACACAGATGCTTAATTAATATTTTCTAATGATGATGGGAAACTGTTAGAATTAAAGCATAAACAAAAGGGAAAGAGGAATCTGCCCAAGGGAAGTACTGATATATTCTAAATTGGAAACAAAACTATTAAGGAATAGAGAGAATGTATATCTCTTTAATTTATGCATGATATTAGGCAGGCATACAGTGTTTGACTTTTGCTACTCAGGGGTAAATAAAATATATTTTTTACAAATATTCATAATGTTCTCTATACACAGTGTGATGTTTACAATGTTGTGGCACATGTTTAGTATATATCCAAATATATCTCCTTAAAGACTGTGTTTAAAAGTTTACCTCTAAGAGTCATTGAAAGTAGAAATGCATCTTCCTTATTGAGGCAATGTTATACACAGCTTCCAACAGTATAAATTGAATACACTATATTACTTGTGTTAAACAACTAGACTGCTGCGTGTAAAAGTGCCCTTGATTATGGTCCTGGGGGGGGGGTGGTCACTATAAACTACCCCGCCACAATTTGAAAATAGAATAATTCATAGTGGATGATTATCTATTTGCAGACAACACGGTTAAAAGACATTTTCATGCTTCCAAAGAAATCTGTGAAACGTGATTAATTTGGCAGTAAAGGATACAAGCTGATTAAAAAGAATTAGGACTCCTGGTAACGCTGGGTGCCAGTCTCCCACTAATTATACAAAGTTGTGTCATCATTTTTCTTCCCAGAAGGAAATTAAACTTTATTAAAACTCTTGCCTTTTGGCTAGAATTAATGATATTTCACTTCCCTTAACTTGTTCCTATCAGATTCATTTCTCTTCTCTAAGCATCCTATGAGGTGGTTTAGGTGTTCCTCAACCGCGAGAACAGGTCCTGGAAATTTGGATTGGATTTAAAAGAAAATTGTAGCTGAATCTCTAGTGTTAATATCCCTGAAGAAAGACTAGAGTAGTAGAAGGTGACAGTCTTCATGGAGTCCAGACAGGAGAGAGTGGCCCAAAGAGCAATAATTCTGACAATACTAGGTACAGGAGAGTATGCCTTGACTGCCAAGGTTACACCTACTTTTAACTTCCCTCAATTAACCCCCTTCCTCCAGGAGCCTTCAGAATGTAGTCTGACTTCACATATGATTTTTAATTTTTATTAATGAATGAATGAATAAATGAATGAATTTTTGGAGGGAGATAATACAGTGATAGCCAAAAGTAGCATTCCTGTCTGCTTGGTTGACATAATTCTCAGTGAAAAGTCTTCTCTTCATATTCTGCCTACTAGATCACCCTGTTATTTTGGTTAGGCTGAGTTTATTTCCTTGACACTCTAACACCTCTAGGTAACCTGACAAAAAGGACTATTTGGATTGCAAAGCTGAAAACCAAGCCTTATCAAGATTTTTAGGGGTTGGGCACCTGGGTGTCTCAGTCGTTAAACATCTGACTTCCGCTCAGGTCATAATCTCAAGATTTGTGAGTTTGAGCCCCATATTGGGTGAGCTGGAGCCCCGTATTAGGTGAGCATGAGCCCCACTTTGGGTGAGCCCTGATTCTCTCTTTCTTGCTACCCCCCCACCCCCCCACCGCTCCTCGTGGGGCTGCCCCTTGAGGATTCTCTCTCTCTCTCTGCCCCTCACTAACTTGCGCTTTCTCTCTCTCTTTCTTTCTTAAGAAAAAAAAAAAAAAAGATTTTTAAGCGTTGCACGTGAATCTGGCTTTATTCATTCATTCATTCATTGAAAAATTATTAAGCTCCTACTCTGTCCTAGGCGTAGGGCCTAGAGTGATTGTTCACATCACAATGAATAAGAGAGAGCTGTTGCCCTCAAGGAGTAAATAGTCTAATAGGGAGGAGAAATAAATGGGAAATTTCTCCATAGTGTGATAGGAAGGAAGACAGGAATAAGCACAGATACTTTTGGGAAAACTGGAAGGAATACCCAATGCATGCCCAAGAGGCTGAAGGGTTTCTGATAGGAGGTGGGAAAAAAATGGAGTCAGCCAGAAGAGGTAGGGGAGCTTTCCAGGCACTGTTGTTGGGAGCTGGGTGTGGAAAGCCCAGGAGACACGGTGATTAGAGCCTGGAGACTGAAGGTCAGGCCCGGGGGAACAGTGAGCCTGCAAAGGGAGAATTAGGGAGAATCACTAGCTCACTGAGGGAAAAGGGGAGTAATGAAAGGGGAATGAAATCTTCAGATTTGTTGTTTAAAAAGACCACTCTGGTTGCACTTTGCAGTTTGAACTCAAGGGATGAAGAGTGATGTCAAGGAGGTTTAAATAAAGGGGTTGTTTGAGGCATCCAAATGATAGTGACATCTCTCCAGTCTCTCATTAAAGTTTTGTGAAAGCTTCTAAATTCTAACATGGGATCCCAGGGATGCATCTTGCCACCATCGGGGCTGTCACTTGAGACATTCCCTTGGAGCCACAAATGGGCACAATGAGAAGCAGAGGTGAATTACCACAGTTTGAGGGAGAGAAATCTGCAGAGTCAAGGAGAAAGCAGAGGTGGCTATATGGAGATCGCTGGGAGTTTCTGTAGTTTCTGTTGCCTCTTGACTGGATCTGCTGTCCCAGGATGAACATTGCTATTTAGGGGACATATTTAAGCATGCTGTATTTAAGGCAGGGATGGTCTATAAAGTAGCATATCAGTATAGAGACAAATTAACCTCATCCAGGTGCTAACTATATGCCAGCTGCTGGGCTAGATATCTTATGTATGTAATATGATTTAATTATCCCCATAACTATTTGTAGGAAATATTAGTGTAGAGGGGTTAAAGAACTTGCCTACAGTCACAGAGGTAATAAATTACAGAGCTAGGACTTGAAGGTAACCAGCTGATTTATCACGCTATTTTCTAGTAAGTTCTATTTTATGCAACCTGGTGATTAAACACTTTTACCTTGGCAGTGTTGATTGCAGCTCCATAGCCAGTTGAAAACCCACATCCTAACAGACAAACTCTCTCTAAATTTGCATCATCATCAATTTTGGCAAGATTAATATCTGACACGACGGTGTACTGAGTGAAGGTACTGGTTCCCATGAAATGGTAAATTGGTTTTCCTTTGCAGGTAAACCTGCTGGTTTTGTCTTCCATTAGTTCTTGATCAACAATAGGATTTTTGACTAGACTAGAAAATTATAAAAAAAAAAAAGACACAAAAAAGAGAATGTAAATGGACCTCTGATTACATTCCTGAAAAAATTCCTGGGCATTACATGTTTATTATGACAATTTTATGAGAGAAAAATTGAGAAAATGACTTGAGACTTTTCACATAAATATAATCAGAAGTAGTTTAAAGATGATAAACTTTTTATTGAATACTCTTTATGGGCCAGAAACTCTTAGGAGTTTACATGTATTAATTCTTAAAATTGTAATGGAAAACTCAACTATATATGAAAGTAGAAAGTCTAGGTTGTTGCATATCTGTGCAACCATATTCCAGCTTCTGTAGTTATCAACTCATGGCTGATGTTCTGTCATCTATTACCTGCCACCCCCACCAGCACCCACTCTCCCTCATGGGACTATTTTGAATTAAACCCCAGACATTACTATTTCATCTGTAAATATTTTAGTATGTGTCTCAAAAAGATAGATTCTTTGGGGTACCTGGGTAGCTTAATCAGTTAAGCATCCAACTTCGGCTCAGGTCATGATCTCACGGCTCATGAGTTTGAGCCCCACATCGGGCTCTTTGCTGTCAGCTCGGAGCCTGGAGCCTCCTAAAGATTCTGTGTCTCCTTCTCTGTGCCCCCTACCTCCCATCTCTCTCTCAAAAAATAAATACACATTAAAAAACAAAGAGATTCTTTTAGGTTGACATATTGCATTTGGTTGATATGTCTGTTAAGTCTCTCTTACTTTATAGATGCTCACTTCTCTCCTTATTTTTTTCTTTGCAATTTATTTGTTGAAGAAACAGTCATTTGTTCTGTAGAGTTTTTCTCATTCTGGATTTTTCTGATTACATTCCTGTAATTGGATTTAACATGTTTCTCCATGCTTGTATTTCCTCTAAACTAGTGTTTTCAATCTAACTGATTGATTTAATTCAGGTTTTATATTTTTGTAGGACTATTTCAAAGGCAGTATTGTGTATTTTCATCTGGAGGCACATAATACTTTATTATCTCTCTTTTTGTGATGTTAGAAAGAACTTATGGTCATTGCCAAAATCCATTATTTCATTAAGAGTTTGCAAAAAGGTGTATTAATTCTTTAAATATCTACCACAACCCTGTAAAATAAGCATTATTATTATTCCCATTTTATAGATAAGGAAATTGAGTAATAGTGATTAGATGTAAGAGTAGTATAATTTTAGCTTCCAAAATAACTAGCTTCAATTAGTATTAAGGACAAATAGATTTTTCTGTAGTCTCATTAAAGAATAAGGTGATAAAGGTTTTGGACTCTGGAGTTCAACTGCTTAGGTTCAAAATCTATTTCTTTTTTTTAAAAAAATGTTTAATGTTTGTTTATTTCTGAGAGAGAGAGAGCGAGACAGAGTGTGAATGGAGGAGGGGCAGAGAGAGAGAGGGAGACAGAATCTGAAGTAGGCTCCAGGCTCTGAGCTGTCAGCACAGAGCCTGACATGGGGCTTGAACTCACGAACCATGAAACCATAACCTGAGCCAAAGTCAGACACTTAACCAACTGAGCCACCCAGGCACCCCTCAAAATCTAGTTCTAAGACTTTTATCTGTGTGGCCTTGGAATAAATTACTGAGCCTCATTTCATCCCTCTCTCTTCTATGGAAATAGCTACTATTTTGATTTTGGCATTTATCATTCCAATAGTGTATTTATACTTTTACTACATGCTTATGTAACCATAAATTATACTGTCTGTGGTATTGTTTTGTATATGATATCTTACTAAATATGTTTGTCAGCAACTTGCTTCTTTCCCTTAACATTATGTGAGGTTATTCTGTGTTGTATGTAGATCAAGTTTAGCCCTTTTCATTGTTATATAGTATTCCATTGTGTTACTACATAGCACTTTGTTAATCCGTTCTCTTATTGGTGGGCATTGGACTATTTTTAATTGCTGTTATAAATAATGTTGCAGTGAACATTCTAGCATATGTTTCTTTGGGTAATTTTGCAACAGTTTCTTGTATACACCAAGGACTAGAATTGGTGGATAGAAACTTCATCCAGGTATTGCCAGTGTACTTCCCCAAATATGTATACCAATTCATATTCTTGCTAATAGTGTATAGAGCTTACCTGAGTTTTGTACAGAAATTTGTGAGTGGACTCAGACAGAACTTGCATTTTCCACATTGAGGCATGTAGAGTGGAATTACTTTGTCACCTGGAAAGAAAGGCCATATGTTGGATGGTGCCTAAGATACAGCTTGTAAATAGTTTCTACCAGATGTATCAGTGGAAAACACCATTCTTTATGGTATATATATGTTCAGCAGAAAGTATAGATGGCTACAATATTTTGTTGCTCTACAAGATTCCCCAAGTATTGAATATACTATATTTTTAAAAATTTTAAAAATATTTATTTATTTATTAATTTAATTTAATTTATTTTGCTGCTGGGCACTTGAGGAACAAATCTGCATTGATACCACTAGCTGCAGAGTCCTGTCTGAGGCTATGCTGTCACTGAAACTCTCTGCATCATATTACTTTTTTTCTTAACATTTCTAAACATCTTGTATGGAGTAGAGCATCCTTATTAAAGGTGGACAACAACAGGCAGGATATGGAGATTAAACTTTATATCATTGCCATGTTTCACCATTTAGTTCACTTCAAATTCTGTATTTTTCTATGTTTTACTCAAATACAACTTACTTATGGCTTCTTTCCTCTGATGATCACAGCCCAATAATGATAATTAACATTTTTTCAACATTTAGTATGTGCTAGGCATCCTTCTGTTTACCCATATTATCTCATTTACTTCTCAGAACTGTCCTTTGAGATGGGTACCTTTTCTCTCCACTTTAGAAAACAGAAATCTGAGCTGTGTCACAGAAAAGTGACTTCACTGGTGGAGGTCACACAGCCAGTAAGTGGCAGAGCTAGGACTACATTGGCCAGAGCACTTCATGGATGCAAAGCTTATGGGAGCAATTTGTTTCTCTGATCTTGTTTGGAATGGAATCTAATATACTCCTATGTTTGGAGCATTCTCATTAAAGGAAGAAAGAATGATACAGTTCATCCCACTTGACAAGTGAGTATTACAGAGCCCATATTCCAATATTTTGTGAATGTTATAAAATGGGAAGTAAAAAATTTCAGCCCATTGGCATGTTCCATTCACGTATTATTTTTATGTTACAAAGTTTCAAAAAGGCACATAAGCTAATATTGACATATATAATATTTCTCACTTAGGCTGACTGTATATCCTCATTCTTTAAATTCTTTGTAATATTCAATTGGTTCTCTGTTTTATTTAGAGGAGGTTGTTATAAATTTTCATTTGTGCCCCACTTTGTGGGTTGCTTCACAGGACAGTTTCTCAGTGCTACATGTGAATAAAGTGACCATATTATCCAGATTTTATCGGTTCTGATTTCAAATATTCTGTCCCATTGTTATACTGTGATAGATAACGTATTTTAGTTTGTCTTTGGAAAAGATGGTTCCCATATATAAATAGAGACCAATATAATATACATCCCCTATATATAAATAGCATGCAAAGCCAAGATTGTATCAGTCCCTGAAATATCCTGACATTTCCATTTAACTGGAATCAGGAAAAGACGTACCTGGTTTGAAACTGGTCACTCCTGGCCCAACACTTTCCACAATTCCTGCGCCCTCATGGCCAAGGATCACTGGGAAGAGGGCCTCTTTAAATTTAGGATTGATCGGATGGGCGTCAGTATGGCACAGGGCAGTGGCGATTATCTGCAAGGCAATCACAGACTTGAGTCCCGTTTCTGTCATTATGTCATTAGGGTTAGGATAATTTTAGGCCCACTGTCACCTTGACACTTTACAACATTCCTAGAGCTCAATAAAAGAGTTACATTTTGGGGGGGAGCACAATTAAAAATATCAGCATATATTCTTTTCCTCTGAATAACAAACCTTTGTTTTCTAACTTTCACTGTCACTGGAGAGTCATACAAAGAGATAGAATTGGCAATTACTGCCTCCAGGAGAGGAGAAATCAAAGGTAGTAGGGAAAATTAAACAAAATCTTTTAGGCAGAGGTAGTGGAGGGAACACAGGTTTCTAGGGCTGGCGCAAATTTTGTTGAAACTACATGAAAGGAGGGGCGCCTGGGTGGCTCAGTCGGTTAAGCGGCCGACTTCGGCTCATGTCATGATCTCGCGGTCCGTGGGTTTGAGCCCCGCGTCGGGCTCTGTGCTGACAGCTCAGAACCTGGAGCCTGTTTCAGATTCTGTGTCTCCATCTCTCTGACCCTCCCCTGTTCATGCTCTGTCTCTCTCTGTCTCAAAAATAAATAAACGTTAAAAAAAGAATTAAAAAAAAATACATGAAAGGAAATAGAGGTAATAAAATCTTTATACTTAAAAGAGGTATCAGATAAAGGAATGTCTCAATAGCTAACATATCCCTTACTATTCAATATTCTCTTGACAAGGATATCTTATTCATCCTCATGTATAAACACCCATACTGTGGTAGTCCTCAGGAGAAGTGTATAAGCCGGGCCAGCTGGGGGGAAATGGAGAAGTTTTGCCAACTTTCAGTCTGTGGTCTCTGCTCAGTGCAGTGTCTTTTCCCTGCTGACCCACGCCTGTCCCTCCTCTGGGCATTTTAGACCCTCATACTGCCCTGGACAGCACTTCAGGTCTTCCTTCTACCTTGTGTTGAACCAAATTTTCTATCTTTCTTTTAATATCACTTTGTAATAAAGCAAAAGAAAGAAAGCAAAAAGAAAACCTAACTAATTCTAATCTGAAGTGAATTCCTTTGTCTGATTCTCAGGGCTAATGGTTAATGTAAAGATAGTTGAATTAAATTTTAAACCTGTTATTAATAACAACTGATATTTAATAATTTACCCCTCCTGGGATAATTCCTGTTTCTATCTGGACCTAAAAATGAAATTCTGCCACAGGTGACACTCTCGGTCATACCACATAGGCTTGACCCGAAGAAGCCAAACCTGCACTGAGTGTCTTCTCTGTATTATATAGGAAAAGTCTCCACTTACCTGGACGCGAACTTCATGAGCCTTGGGAGGAGATACCTCGACCTCTTCTATGCAGAGGGGCTTGCCTGCTTCCCAGGCAATAGCTGCTTTGCATTTAATAACCTGAGAAAGAGGGATAGATGGGGAAAGACAGGAAGATTAATTGTGTAATTAATATATAACTATATAAGATGTAATTAATTAATGTTATATTTAAAAATTTAAATATATGTAACATTGAAAGAAGGTGGAGGGGAGCCTGGGTGGCTCAGTTGGTTAAGCATCCGACTCTTGTTTTCAGCTCAGGTCATGATCCCAGGGTTGTGAGTTTGAGCTTTGTGTGGGTCTCTGCACTGACAGTGTGGAGACTGCTTGGGATTCTCTCTCCCTCCCTCCCCTGCTCACTCTCTCTCAAAATAAATAAATAAACTTAAAAAAAAAAAGACATAAAGTGGAAGGAAACAAATCTATAATCTTTGTTTCTAATGCTATTATTTTTGCTTTTGGTATGCTTTTCCCAGTCTTTGACCACACAAATACATAATTTTTGGTAGCTGTTTTGCAATTTTGAACATCTATATATATACATATGTGAATCACATGTATATGTATATGTATATCACATGTATATGTATATGTGTATATATATACACACATATACATATATATATATTTAAGTTTATTTTTTGGGAGAGAGAGAGCACGTGTGAATGGGGGAGGGACAGAGAAAGAGGGAGAAGAAAAATCCCAAGCAGGTTCCACACTGCCAGTGCAGAGCCCCATGTGGGGTTGATCCCACAAACCATGAAATCATGACCTGAGCCGAAATCATGACCTGAGCCGAAATCAAGAGTCAGTTACCCAACCGACTGATCTACCCAGTCACCCCTTGAGTTTATGTTTTTGAATATCATTAGTCTTATTGCACATACAACATAAATTATAGAAAGTTTCAAAGTACAAATAAGAACAAAAGAAACAAATCTACCTATAATTTCATCGCTCATTTTATGATTTGAGGTAAATTTTTTCAGTATTCCTAAATGGGATCATATTTTATATAATATTTTGTAATTATTTTTCTACTTATTAATATACTATAAATATTTTCTATATTTTTCTCTAGCTTTTTTTCTAACAAATGCAAATTGTATTTTGTTGTTACAGCATAGTTACTCAAATCTGTCTCTTTTTTGCCTTTGTAAGTAATATTTAATTGACTACTCTTGTAGTAAGCATTTTGGCACATCCTCAGTAATTTCCTTAAATTTCTAGCAGTTCACTTAAATCCTTTTAAAATGCTGCTTTCTGAGAGTAATTCTGAAGGAAGCTTCTCTTAGCAAAATTATAAAAAGACAAACAAGAATAAGAAATAGTGTATTTGCTTACTTTGCCCTTGGTGCCCATTTTTCTTTGGCAAACTAGCCTTGGAAGTTTCTTTCTCACTTAAGAATATCTTCCACTTCTATCCAGGGTGCTCAGTGTCCTATAATGATCTGTCTGAATAAATACCATTCCTGCCCTGTTATTCTCCAATCACTTTCCTCTTTTGCTGCTGTGATACATAGCTCTGCCCATTTCTCATGTGATTTGTACTCTCATATTTTAGCTGCCAACTGCATTGCTCCCAGCTCTTATTTGAAGAAGGTTTTTGTTTACTTTTTCCTTTTATTGCATAATATAAGATAGTAGAGAAAAGTTCATTAAGATTATACAGATGCATTAACACATAAAGGATATTTCTACTGCCCCAGAATCCTTCCTGTACCCAGGCTTCTCCTTTATAAGCCTTGTAATCATTCCCTTGCATTTTATTTTTTTTTTTTTAATTTTTTTTTTTTTTCAACGTTTATTTATTTTTGGGACAGAGAGAGACAGAGCATGAATGGGGGAGGGGCAGAGAGAGAGGAAGACACAGAATCGGAAACAGGCTCCAGGCTCTGAGCCATCAGCCCAGAGCCTGACGCGGGGCTCGAACTCACGGACCGCGAGATCGGGACCTGGCTGAAGCCGGACGCTTAACCGACTGCGCCACCCAGGCGCCCCTCCCTTGCATTTAAAAAAAAAATTTTAATGTTTATTTTCAAGAGAGAGACAGCATGTGAGTGGGGGAGGGGCAGAGAGAGAAGGAGACACAGAATCTGAAGCAGGCTCCAGGCTCTGAGCTATCAGCTCAGAGCCTGATGTGGGGCTTGACCTCATGAACTGTGAGATCATGACCTGAGCCGAATTCAGACACTTAACCGACTGAGCCACCCAGGTGCCCCAATTTCCTTGCATTTCTTTATGTTTTATGGTTCTCTCTACAGTATAGTTTCGTTTTAGCTGTTAAAATCTTTATATGGCATGTGATAATTGTTCCTGGAAACAAAGGTACAGTGAAATTGTATTAATTGTACCAGATGTGGCTATTTAGTAGGTTAAGGGTTTAGAATCAGTCTAAATTAAAGATAATTTTGTATTGATCAGTAAGAAAACAAAAAACCACACACACAAAAAAACAAGAAAACATTTATATGAATGGAATCACAGTATATGTATTATTATTTTTTTTTAATTTAAATTCAAGTTAGTCAACCTATAGTGTAATTTTAGCTTTAGGAGTAGAACCCAGTGATTCGTCTCTTACATACAACACCCAATGCTCATCCCCAAAAGTGACCTCCTTAATTCACATCACTCATTAAGCCATCCCCCCACCCACCTCTCCTCCAGTAACTCTTGGTTTGTTCTCTGTATTTAAGAGTCGCTTATGGTTTGCCTCCCTTTCTGTTTTTATCTTGTTTTTCCTTTCCTACAGTATATGTATTTTTTTCTTTTTTTCTTCTCAACTCCATGTTTGTGAGATTCATACACATTGGACTATTTCATTATCATTCACTTTCCTTTTTGCTTTTCTTTTTTTTTTTGCTTATGATTAATAATTGGTTGCATAAAAATTCTTTTAATGTATTGTTGTATATGTGCTTAAGTTTCCTTGGGGAAAATTTAGGATTAATATGCAGCCAGTACACACTATTAAGGTGATGCCAAATGTTAAAATAGAGAAATTTTTGTTCTAGTTGGTAGAAAACCACTGCTCCAAATTCCTAAATTTCCTTTTAACTCTGTTGTAGCCCTAAGGAGCCCTGTTTAGTCACTGTTGAGGAGCTACTCTCATGCCCCTTCCAGATGTGTGAGCCCATCACCCAGCCCCCAAAGGTTCTGGGGGGTGTGTAGTAATCTTTGGACCCCGGTAGGCAAATACCTACTGCTCATGTGACACCCTGGAGCTGTTGACCTATCGTGCTGTAGGCCAGAACTCCCCTGAAGTCTCACTTGCTTGGCTGTTTGTGGGAAATGGAATGCTCCATATTGGCTGTTAAGTATTTTGACTAGGAGTGGAATTGCTGGGTCTTCAACTCTGATAGACAAAGAGTTTTACAAAGTGCGTGTATAAGCAGCAATGAATCAGACTTCCCATTGCTTCATATCCTTGCCTGTGCTTGGAATTGTTGGGACTTTAAAACTTGATAGCCTGTGGGTGTGAATGGTATATATTGTGTTTTAAATTTGTATTTCTCTGATTATTAATGACAATTATAAGCACCAGTGGTGTACCAGAGCCAGCTCATACTGATTTCTGGTCTGTTTATTCTATTAACTACTGAGAGATATTTAAAAGTTATTATTGGGGCGCCTGGGTGGCGCAGTCGGTTAAGCGTCCGACTTCAGCCAGGTCACGATCTCGCGGTCTGTGAGTTCAAGCCCCGCGTCAGGCTCTGGGGTGATGGCTCGGAGCCTGGAGCCTGTTTCCTCTTCTGTGTCTCCCTCTCTCTCTGCCCCTCCCCCGTTCATGCTCTGTCTCTCTCTGTCCCAAAAATAAATAAAAAACGTTGATTGCTAGCTTGTTAAAAAAAAAAAAAGTTATTATTATGGGGGCACCTGGGTGGCTCAGTTGGTTAAGCATCTGACTTCGGTTCAAGTGATGATCCTGTGGTTCGTGGGTTCAAGCCCTGTGTCGGGCTCTGTGCTGACAGCTCAGAGCCTAGAACCTCCGTTGGATTCTGTGTCTTTCTCTCTCTCTCTGCCCCTCCCTTGCTTGCACTCTCTCTCTTAAAAGTAAACATTGAAAATTTTTTTAAGTTATTATTATGAATTTGTTCATTTCTTATAGTTATTTTCTTTTCACTTTACATATTTTGAGGCTTAATATTGGTGCATGTAAGTGTTCTGTGTTCTATGTGTTTTAAAAAGTTTAACAAGATATTTTACCATCTTTCTCTGTCAGTATTTTTAAAAATCTATGTAATTTCTTTTAATAGCTCCATAGTTTTCCAGTATCTCCTACAGACTTTAATATTTTATTGATTATTTAAGTTGTCCTATAACACTTTGTGGAAGTATAATTTGTGCTTCTTGTTTCCACTTTCTTACTACCCACATTTCCTTCCTAACTTACCTGGTTTCCATCTTTATATTATAATTGAAACTTGAAAGTTGTTAGTAGCCTCATTAAAAAAAAAAAATGGCCTTAGAAATTCCTTTGTAGCGTAAAAATTTCTGGCCTTTTTCATATTTTTATGACTTTTCCCCCTTTACTCCAAGCTGTAGACAAGAGTTTCTGTTTGCTCCTAGACCTATTTTAACAATGTTCACATTCACACAACAACCTTATCCTCATTTACAACTCCAGATGCCTTTCTTGGACTTCCCTATGGCACTAGCATCTCCATTCTTTTCTTTACTGTTCTGAAACCTCCCTTGACCTTTCTCTCTATATTGTTTACAAGCTCTGTATATTCTACCTGCCTTTCATTTCCTTCTTTCCATTTTTATTATTATAGTGTAGATAAGCTTATTACTGCTTTAAAAATGTTTTTTAATTGCAGTATAGTTGACATACAATTAGTTTCAGGTACACAGCATAGTGATTCAACATTTGTATGCTATGAGGTGCTCACCACAATTAGTGGAGTTACCATCTGTCACCATACAAAGTTATTACAATATTTTTCACAGTATTCCCTATGCTAAACTTTACATCCCCATGACATTTTTTTTTATAACTTGAAATTTATACCTCTTAATCTTCTTCACCTATTTTGCCTATCCACTCATCCCCCCCTTCCTCTGGCAATCACATTTGTTCTTTGTATTTATGAGTCTTTTTCTGTTTTGTTTGTTCATTTGTTTTGTTTTGTGGATTCCGTATTAATTGAAATCATAGGTATTTGTCTTTCTCTTTTTTTTACTTACCATCATACTTTCCAGGCCCATCCATTTTGTCACAAATGGCAAGATTTCATTCCTTTTTATGGCCAAATAATATTCCATTGTGTATATATACCACATTTTATTTATGTATTTTTTCAAGGTATATCTCTCCATTTATTCTGTGTTAAAATTTTTTTTTTTTGTTTTAGGAGTGAAAATTAGTGATCAATCAGTTAATATAACATCTGGTGCTCATTACAAGTGCTCTACTTAATAATCATTACCCATTTTTAGCCCATCCCCTGCCCACCTCCCCTCCCTCAACCCTCAGTTTGCTCTCTATAGTTAAGAGACCGTTATGGTTTTTTTCCCTCTCTCTTTTTACCTCCTTTCCCTATGTTCATCTGTTTTGTTTCTTAAATTCCACGTATGAGTAAAATCATATGGTATTTGTCTCTCTCTGACTTGTTTCACTTAGCATAATGCACTCTAGTTCCATCTGCGTCATTGTAAATGGCAAGACTTCATTGCTTTTGATGACTGAATAATGTTCCATTGTGTATATATACCACATCTTTCTTATCCATTTATCATTCAATAGACATTTGGGCTCTTTCCATAATTTGGCTGTTGTTGGTAATGCTGCTATAAACATTGGGGTACATGTGCCTCTTCTAATCAGTATTTTTGTATTCATTGTGTTAATACCTAGTAGTGCAATTGCTAGAACTAGGATAGTTCTATTTGTAACTTTTTGAGGGAACTTCCCATTGTTTTCTAGAGCGGCTGCACCAGTTTACATCCTACCAACAGTGTAAGAGGGTTCCCCTTTCTCTGCATCCTCACCAACATCTGTTGTTTCCTGTGTTGTTAGTTTTAGCCATTCTGACAGTTGTGAGGTGATATCTCATTGTAGTTTTGATTTGTATTTCCCTGATGATGAGTGATGTTGAGCATCTTTTGATGTGTCTGTTAGTCATCTGGATGTCTTCTTTGGAAAAATGTCTACTCATGTCTTCTTCCCATTTCTTAACTGCATTCTTTGTTTTTTGGGTGTTGAGTTTGATAAGTTCTTTATAGATTTTGGGTACTAACCTTTTATCTGATATGTCATTTGCAAATTTCTTCTCCCATTCCACAAGTTGTCTTTTACTTTTGTTGATTGTTTCCTTGGCTGTGCAGAAACTTTTTGTCTTGATGAAGTCTCAATA